CATTTGACGGTGCCCACCCTGTGCGGTGCTGGGGAGGAGCCCTGTCGCTCGCCGGCGATCGTGGGCGAGCCTCCCCGCCACGGGGCGCCCCCAGGCCTCTGCTTATCTTAGAAGCAGAGGCTCCAGCCAGATTCACCTGATACTGCGCAGCCCTTTCATGTTTAAGCAATTACGTGTAGAGATCTTGCTTATAAGCACAGTGAAAAGTAAATTGTCCACTCTGTCCCTCCAGCCGCTTACTTCCCCTGTCTGCCCACACCGTTGTTTACCAACTTCTTCCAGCAACTTTCTGTGCCCACATGACCTAGAGGCGCCCCTGGAGAAATCTGTCCTCTATCCAGAAGGGGGAGGGAAGAACTGTAACGGTTTCAGATTTAAAAATACTAACTTATTGTCGATGTATGGGAGTTGACGGCCTACAAAACTCCTGTGGTATGGAGCTGGTGGGCAGGCATTCTATCCCTGTTTTCCTCATGGGTAACCAGTACTTGCTAGCTGTTGTTCTTGGTTAAGTTACAAGTTACGGTTTGTCTTTCCTCACCTGGAAAATGGTGACGATAGTAGCTACTTCGTGGGGTTGCTGTGCAGATAACGTGAGTGATGCAGGTAAAGCATTCTAATTAGCCTGAGCAGGGGGAGCCCTCTGCTGTGACTGTGGGGCTCGGAGGGACGGGTTCCTGGCTGCCCGGCTAAGGATGGCTTTCTGCTTCCCCGAATCAGTCCCTGATCCTGAAACGACTCAGTCAGGTGCAGGGCACTTCCTTGTCATTGTCAACCGGACACAAACATTCCCATCTGCTCTGCCAAGGACCGGCCAGAGGCACCTTGCTGGTGGGCAGCTGCCTGCTCTGCCCGCTCCAGGCTTCAACAAATACTGGCCCTGCCTTCTGAGGAACCCCTTCCCCCCTACCCCTGCTTCTCCAGCAGGCAGCCTGGAACCTGAGGGTGAAATGTTGGGCGAATGGACTGGTCCAAGGTCTATTAGGCCTACTGTGGTCCAGCTAGAGGCTGCTGGGTCAGAGATGAGGGGACATCAACCAGGCAGGCCCTGGGGATGCAAACCCCGGAGACCCACCCAGACATCAATGCCAGGATGCCAGCAGCATGCCTCATGAAGAGGGGAAGGAGGACCCACAGTTCATGCTGTTGGGGGACAGTGGAGCACAGTAACAGAAAATGTGGAGCTGGGTGTTGGACAAACCTGGCTTCACATCCCTGCTTTGTCATTGAACATTTCAGTGCCTTATTCGCTCTAAGACTCAATTTATTTTCTTTTTTAAAAATTCTCACCCGAGGATATTTTCCCATTGATTTTTAGAGAGGGTGGAAGGCAGGGAAGAGAAGGAGAGAGAGAGAAACATCAATGTGAGAGACACATCAATTGGTTGCCTCTCGTATGTGCCCTGACCCGGGCCAGCTATCAAACCCACAACTGAGGTACGTGCCCTTGACTCAAACCCACAACTCTTTGATCCAAGGGCCAATACTCTAACCACTGAGAACAACTAGCCAGGGCACTTGTCTATTTCTAGAGGGTAGCGGGAATCAAACCTGAGACCCTTGGTCCGTGGGAAGATGCTCTAACCACTGAGCAACTGGCTAGGGCTAAGCCCCAATTTCTTATAAAATGGGAATGATCTCTTAGGTGAGAAAATAATACTTACCTGGTGAAATTGTTATAAGATTTAAATGAGATTGTGTTTTTAGTTAAGTGGTAGCTATTATGGGGAGGAAAGGGTCTATTTGCAATGGTAGAGTATGTCCTGCTCTATAGGACATACTATCCATCTTCATCAACAAGTAAATTTTAAAGGAAAAAAGATGAAGAGAGACCTATAGGTTAAAAGAGTCATAAGAGACATATTAACCAATTGCAATGATTGGACCTTATGAGGAGCCAAAGAAATTATGTAAGTATTTATGGGGTAATTGAGGAAATTTGAGTATGGATATTGGATGACATGAAAGATTATTGGTGGATTTTTTTAGGTATGATAATAGTATTTTTAAGTGTAATGAATCTTAATATTTTAGAAAAACTACTGAACTATTTATACATGAAAATATATAACGTCAGAATTTGCTTTAATCTTGGATTAATGATTGCCCAATATGAGATTAACCATCAGTTGAAAATTGTTGATGTTGGCTATTGAGTACATAGTATTCTTTCTGATTTTGTTTCTACTAAAATTTTTCTGTAACAAAAGTAACAATAAAATAAAGACTGGCATTAAAGGAATTGTGTTCAATTTAAGTAAGAGGTTAAAAATAAATAAGGAAAAGTTAAAATAGGAGAAAAGAAAAATATGGATAAGAACATAAAATAGTGAAGTAGAAAAATTG